TATATTATTTTATATTTAGTTGCTATTACAGCCATAAATGAAATGTTGAAAGTATACCATTTTTTTCTTATGGCTTATTTTACACGGTAGCGTTTGTTTTTCTTGTCCTGCTTTTAAGGCATTTTAGCAATTTCCAACCACAATCTAGCCACTTTCCTTATATTATTTACGTGTGTCGACAACTATGACGGTGGCCGGTGGTTGGCCAGTCTTTAACCTGCAGTGACAGTGTTTGATCTTAGTCTTTGTTGTGGGTTTGTCGCTTGGTGCCACAGCTAGTGCTTACGATTTGTTGTACTTTTCCAGAGCATAAAACGGTCACGGCTGCATCAAGGTTACATAGCGCCAAAGTGTGTGCCAGGCAAGGGGGGGGGCGGCTGATGTCTTCGGGAACGTCCTCTTTTTTTAATGTTCAGATATGACAACCCTATCTAAGACACAATACCAAGATGACAAACTAAATGGCGTCCAAACTGTAACCTTCCCGAGGATACAAAGACGATTACAGTTGTTAGTTCTACCTGTGTTCCTCTAACATTATCACCACCACAGGTGTTACTTCCACCAACACCTGTATTCCTCTAAGATTATTCCGTCTTCCACAATAACGTCTACAGGTGTTCACTCCTTCCCACAGTTGTCAACAGAATATCGTCTGCCAGTCACCGAGTGCCAAGCTTGGAGTCGCCTGCGAAGTATTTAACCTGGAAGACTGTGACAATGAACGACTCATCATATCCTACGACACCACTTCCTCCACGTATGTGTTACCCGGTACAACACCACCACCACCACCACCTCTACTACTGTTATTCTTACTACCTTTACTACAAACTAAAAAAAACAACTTTTACTGCTATTGTTATTATACAATGCAAATAGTATTACAATACCGGTTCTCCTTAAAATTACACTACTACTACTACTACAACAACTACTGCTTCTGTGTGTGATATTGACAGTAACATTAGTAGTTACTGGACATAAAGACAATATGTGATCCAGTCATAACAATACTTGCATTATTTTTATCTATCATTAAACCTTTACTTTTGATGTTGGTAATATTATCAAGTAATAACACTCTTACTAACTTCTGATGTTTCAATAACTATTACTTTAATTACAACCACTAACACATTATTACTCCTGTTACCTCGAATACTTTGTCTCCTCAGTCTGAGCATAAACTGATAATAATACCTCACTATAACCTCCTGCCTGTCACTATAACCAGCCAATGTTAATTACTATATGATGGCGTTATCCTCAACAGACTCTGCGGGAATGTTAAACCTAACGGCGTCTTCCCCACCAACGCGATGAAACTCGAATTCATAACCAAAGGCGTGAATGACTCCACTGGGTACAATTGTTCCATCACGTGCCTAAGATAACAAACCAATGACCAACTACAACAAGTAGTGTGAGAAGCAGTTGCCTCTCTCTTACCTGCACCACGACTACCAGGACCACTATGAGGAATTCCTTGGGATTTGTTCATCTGAAGGAGTGACATGCTAGTGTTCCAGGCTTCACTAACCCCCGGACCCGGAAACCTGACCAAACCTTCCTATGTCAGCCTGGCCTAATGTAACCTGTCCCTTAATGACCTAACCCACCTATCCCCAGCAAACCCTAAATTTATCACCTCGAACATGACCCAATGTAACCTAACCAATACAGCACTTTATAGAGACATGTCATCACTACTTGTGTAAGACTTTATCAAGACATTATATATTATCTATTAATCATTTAGAGAATATTGGCAGAATATAATAAAATATTGCACAGCAAACACTGTTTATGTATATAACCTAAACCACTGAAGAAAGCCAACCAATAATAAATACAGTCCAGTACAGTACAGTACCCTACTGTAGTGTACTGTACTGTACTGTACACAAGTTTGTAATATCTCAAGTGAGGTCTCGTAGGCAGACCATAAGAGAATTATAATTTAGTGTAAAAGTAATGATTATGGTGACTCACTAAGTCACATTATCCACTGTGTTTACTCCTCTTGAGGGCTGGATCATGGGTCACACAGAATGAAGCTAGATATACCCACACCTGCCTCCATATATCCTCAACCCACACACGTAGGGAGGGTGTGTCTTGTTCTCTGTCAAGAAGACTCTTATGGTACTATTAAAAATCACTCTCCCATAGTCATAATAATATCATATTTAAACGTTAAGGAGGTTAATGATGCCGCCGCCGACCTCACCTGTATGAGCGTGTGACTTACCAACACTTGTCAACAACATATATTTGTTTTATAATATTCTCTTCCTTTTGTGAGATTATTAAAGACCACACAACACAAGAGTGCGTTCCCTAGTTAACCAAAGGAACACAAGTAATGGTTGAGTGCGTGTTGCTGCAGAACTCACCCTAGCACTCCCTACACCCTCACACTATCACTCCCTACACCCTACCACTCCCTACACCCTCACACTACCACTCCCTACACCCTACCACTCCCTACACCCTCACCCTACCACTCCCTACACCCTCACCCTACCAGTCCCTACACCCTACCACTCCCTACACCCTCACCCTACCACTTCCTGCACCCTCACCCTACCACTCCATACACCCTTACCCTAGCACTCCCTACACCCTCACCCTAGCACTCCCTACACCCTCACCCTACCACTCCTTCCACCCTCACCCTACCACTCCCTACACCCTCACCCTAGCACTCCCTACACCCTCACACTACCACTCCCTGCACCCTCACTCTACCACTCCCTACACCCTCACTCTACCACTCCCTACACCCTCACCCTTTCCACTCCCTACACCCACACCCTTTCCACTCCCTACACCCTCACCCTACCACTCCCTACACCCTACGGTGGTCAGGTCAACACTGGGTCAACGTAGGGTCAAGACCTATTTAGGCGCTGCTCCTGCTGAGCAGCTCTCACCCTTGGCCATGTCGGCCCATTCCCCAAGTCCCTCTCCCCGACCCATCCTCACCACCGGGATATCAACATAACCAAAGTGACATTTCGTTTCGGAAAGAAGTGGAACCAGTGTTGAACAGTTAAGAACAGTGTTTAAGCCAGTGAATTCAGTACTAGACAGTACCAGTGAGAGCCGTGACCCGCCAGTGAGATAAGCACCACTGGGTACTGACCGCCATCTCCTGACAAGGAGGTGCTAATCAGTCCACCCTGAGAACAACAGTGGGTCGGCTTCACACTTGACTTCGATATAACACAACACCACCCAGTAGGGTGGGGATAGGTCAACAACTGCAAATATGTTGCCTGTATAACAAGTGAACTACCGTGTGTTGAGCACTGTGTCGTGTGTAGGTGTAGGTGCCCGCGAGGCAAGGCCTATACCCTTGTGGTCACGCTGGGCCATGTGGTGAGGGTTTGTTTACACAAACCCCCGTCCTCATAGTGTGCCAAGCTGGTTAGTTCTTTTGAAACTAAAATTGACTTTGATACTGTATCTAACCAGAAAAACAGACATGCTATTAAGAACAAGTGTAGTGTAATAAAAGTGTTTATAAACTGAGAATACTCCTGTTACCTTAGTCCCCCCGACACCACACTCCGTCCGCGGGAGGCCCGCTCATGGCCTCCCCTCACACCGCTAATACGCTGTACAGTAGATGCCAATCTCCTTTGTCCTCAAAGAGGGTTACGCCTCCCAACCACCGCTGACTTCCTAGGAGTGCCAAGCAGTCCTCGGCCCTCTGACGTAGGCATATAAGTCGAGCCCTGTAACTCCACCATGTCTGAGTTGACTGGAGACCCAGCTGCTCGCTTTAACTCTCCTGAGGCACTGAGTGAGCCAGGCGACTGTGGTGTTGACCTTGACACCAACGGAGAAGATGGCTTTCAACTAGTTCAGTCCAGGAACAAGCGGAAGGCCGAAAAGGCAGAAAGACTTAGAGACCATCAACTACAACCACAACCCCCCATGAGAAACGATCGGTCTGCACAGGATCTCCTCACCAATAGCATAAGGGGAATAACCATGGAACAATCATCCCAACCATCGAGCAAGAAAACCATAATAATCATAGGGCTCGACCAGTACCAGACCCCTACACTACTAGAAGCTCATCCCTACATCAGAAGGACGAAGCGACTCAGGGGCAAGAATGCAGTCATTGCAGACTGGGTTGGCTCAGAAGACCCACCCAAGACCATTCGAGTCCGTGGTGCCTATCGGACTCTGAAGGTAACACTCTATCAGCCCCCTAACCGGAGGTGTTACAACTGTCAGCACTGGGGCCATGTGGCCCGGTTATGCCCCTCGACTAAGCCGTGGTGTGGTCTCTGCTCAAGGCAACATGCAACACAGGTTTGCAGAGATACAGTTGCTCAAGGGGGTGTCATCCAACAGAACTGCAAAACAGTTGGAGTTCCTGTATGGCACCCTAACTGTTCTAGAGCTCCTACACCCCTTCAGCGCCCAGACCCGCCACCCAGGCAGGTCTCAAGAAACACTAATGCTGCTAGGGTACTCCCTACGGCCAACCCCTGGCCTGCCCTCCCCACCAAAGCTCCAGGATCATCACCAGCAGTCATCGAAAGATCAGCATGGGGCAACACAGATGTACCGACACAACAGGTAGCTGCCAACACACTCCCTGCACATCGTGAAGAGATCAATGATTTGAAAAATGAAATTAAAGAACTCAAAGCTCAGTTTACAACTCTAACTGAAATGTTTGGGAGCCTCTGTGATACACTAAAGGAAAAAAACACCACCAACACAGTGCAGCAACTTCGGAAAAATTACAGTCAAACTGAAGACATTCAGATGTCAGTACCAGATGTGGAAACTCAAGACCCACCAGGAACTAGTGTCCACGCAGAGGAAAATAGTGATACTGGTAACAGTTCTACTGATGCCTCTGTGGACATGGTCAGTGAAGATGAACAAGCACAAACAGAAAATGGTGGTGATGTCGAGTGTAACCAAAGTGTGTTGTTGTCTGCCAATGAAATACAACAATTGTTGAGCCGTACGTGCTCCAGAAATGTTTCCAAAAGGTTAACTGGCCTACTGCCTGCCGAAGGGACAGGCAGCGCAGAAAAGAACAGTATCATACAGTGCCTTTTGCTTCTTTCCAAATACATTTCATAATGGCCAGTGTTAATACCAGACAAAGATACAGAGCGGTGAAGGTGATGAGTTGGAACATCTCATCCCTTAGAAAACGATACCCTGACCTACACCACAAAGTTGTGACTGAGGACATCGATATTGTGTGTCTGCAGGAGTGTCTCACACCTAATGGTAAGCCCCCACCCAGTCTGCCCAATTATGTTTATCATGATCCTAGTTCTACTCACACATGTTTGATGTATGTTAAGAAGTCACTCCCGCATGTACCTCTTGTATCCAAAAAGACTACCAACCTTCAGTACCATGGGATCACTATCCACCTGGGCAACTCCACACTCAACGTGCTAAACGCCTATGCTCCCTCAGATCAGTTTCAGTACACAGATCTCCCAGACTTTTTACACACTGAGCCCACTGTCCTGATGGGTGACCTGAATACTAGACACAAGAAATTAGGTGACTCCACCACTAACACCAATGGTAGGAGACTTATCTCACTTCTCAGCGCATATGAAGATGTTCAAATTATAGGTAATAATGAACCAACACACATCTATGGCGGGGGTCTAGACAAATGTATTGGCTTTAATCTATCATACACAACTCATAGCTCTGATGTTGTCACTGATCTTATGTCTGACCACAGCCCAATCCAAGCTAGTATACATGTAGCCAATGACACCCCCACTGGTGGTAAACTCAACAGACGTAGAATCACAGTCAAGCAAGAACATGAAAGCCAGTTCATAGACTTCATCCATGACTGGTACAAGGACTACAAGCCTGACAACTACCAAAGTTTCCATGACGATCTGATAGATAGGACTTATGTATACTTCACCAACAATGCCTCCACCAAAAAAAGGAGAAAACGTGGTCAGCATAATGGGAACAGGCAACAGCAGTGCTATAATGACCCTGAGCTGAAAAAACTCAGGGCTAGGGTCAGGAGGGTGGGTAAGGGTTACAGACAATTTAGAACACCTCAAATGTTACAATTGTATCAAGCTTCCCTTGCTGCTGTCAGGGAACGTGTCAACGAACTCAGACAAAATGCATGGGAGACATATGTCAACAGCCTGAACCAACACACATCCCTCAGCAAAGCCTGGAAAGGCATAAACATAATCAGAGGTAAAAACAGAAGACACGTCTCCCATCCAAACCCTCTGCAAAAGTCGAATGAGCTAATAACAAAGTGGGCTCATGTGTCGAGCTATGACATGTTACCAGCTGGGACTCGGGGACTCCTTGATGCGAAGTCTGTAGAGAGAAGTAATCTTATTAGCTTTATGCTGGGCAAACAGCACGATGAGTGTGATGTTCCATATACTGAGTGGGAGCTTGACGCCGCCCTCGCCAGGGGTGGGTCTACTTCCCCTGGAGAGGACGGAGTCACCTACAACATCATTAGACTACTAAGGCGCGTGCCAGGCAATCCATTGTTGGTATTGTACAATATGAGTCATGCCGAGGGCCAACTACCCACATCATGGACCAGCAGTATTGTTGTGCCAATACCGAAACCAGGACAGCCTGATGCCTTTCGTCCCATATCACTAACCAGCTGCCTGTGTAAAACCTTTGAGAGGATGGTTCTTGGCAGACTCTTATATAGAATCAGAGAACACATGTCTCCTAACATAAATGGCTTCACCCATGGTAAAGGTGTACATAATTGCATCACCACATTCC